TATCAACATTGGGGAGCATAAAAAACGAATGGTAAGTCTGTTAAATAAGTTATAAGTTAATTTAATTCAATTACTCATGTTTACATTTTGTAGGCACATGAATTGGGGACGGAACCGACATTTGCAGCTACATTGGAGCGCACATTTCAAAAAAAAGATAAGTCATGGATTGGCGATTAAGCAAAAGCTATTAAGGTATGTAAGGTTATACTTTAGACTTTATGAAAATTAGAATGAAAACCGTGAATGCTTTTAATATTTATGGTAGTTATATATATATGAAGTTATTTTATTTTCATCTATATTGTTAATGTAGGAAAAATATGATGAACTTTTAATGAGCAATGCTAGTGGTGGTGATGGTGTTGCTGCGTCTGAGCCATCAGTTGATAGTACAGCATTATGGGTGGAGGCAACGGGTGGGATGAAAAAAGAAAAAATATTTGGGATGGGATCCTTGTTAAGGGTATACATGACGAATCATGCTGCAACTTCATCATCCAATGTGGCTGTTCGAAGGAGGACACGACATGACGAGCAATTGACCCAAGAATTGAACCAACTGAAAAATATACTTGTAGAGAAGGACGAAGAAATAAATGACTTGAAACAACAAATGCAAATCGTTATGCAACACCTCAACCTCAATCACGATGAGGTTCCTCCTGTACCTCCCGCTAATCCAATAGGTGATGGGCACAATGATGAGCGACACAATGATGCTGAGATTGCCGATGATGATGATGATTTTCTCGGTCCTTTCTAGTTAAAATTCTCAAAATCGGGGGTAAGCTTGCTTCACAATCTTTTGTGACATAAGTGCAGTTTCACCCAATATGTTCCTGCCCTACAATTACTTTTTGTGCACAACTTTCTTACAACTAGGTTCTTTGTTTGCGAAAAACTGAAAATTTAGAGATCCCAGGATGACATGCTTGTTACAAAAAATCATGATATTTGAACATTGTAGAAATACATGCCTTAATTGACTTTGAGTCCTCTCTTCTTAGGAATTGGTATTGGTAATTCACCTCTCTAAGTCATTAAACTGTTGAATACTGTTTGGACAAGGATCTAATTTTTCCTAGGTGACAGAAATACGATTTACAAGGGTGAAAAAACTACAGTGGATGTCAAAGTTGACTCATATTCATATGTAAGAACATTGATGTTCGTCCTGAAACGTTTTTTTGTTAACCCTCTTACTTGTTTTTTTATACCTAGTTCCACATCCATGCATAAATGCTTCTTTTATATTCTGGACTGATTGAATATCTTTATTTATGTATCCACATTTCATCAGGTGTCGACAAAATTGACTGCTTTTGGTGTCCTGCCAAGTACCAAAGTTGCCCAATCTTGTGTCTGGTTTGTCGATTTTTCGTTTTTGAAGCAGAATCTATGGTTGTCCCGCCTCCTATGAATGTTTTGAATGTATTATAAGATTGGATATCAAATAGCATCATGTCAGACTTTGCAACTTTGCATATATCATTATTTTTTGCGAACTAGCATATTTCCTTCAGTTATATTTTTCAATTATATGGCATTATGTCTGGTTTGTTCGTTTTCTGTTTCTGAAGCGGAATCTATGATTGTCTCGTGTCCTTTGATTGTTTTGAATGTATTACATGATGTTCATTAATGCGTAGCTATTGCTATGGACAAGATTTGATGGCCCAAATGGTGTAAAATTTGCGACGAATTTTGCGACAAATATTTAGAGACGAATTTTGCGACTATTACAGTTCGTGGCTAATTTGCGACGAATAAGTAGCGACGAATCAAGTTCGTGGCTAATTTGCGATAAATTTTGCGACGAATAAAGTTCGTGGCTAATTTGTGACGAATTCTTTGTGACGAATAAAGTTGGTGGCTAATTTGCGACGAATTTTGCGATGAATTATTTGCAATGAATTTTGTGACGAATTATTTGCGACGAATTTTGCGACGGATAAAGTTCGTGGCTAATTTGCGACGAAAATTGCGACGAAATGTGTGACTAAATTTACGACGAAATTTGCGATGAATTTTGCGACGAAATTTCCGACGAATTTTGCGACGAATAAAGTTCGTGACTAATTTGCGACGAATTTTGCGACGGATAGTGTTCGTGGCTAATTTGCGACTAATTTTTTTCCGTCGCAATTTAGCAACGGAAATTGAAATTTTCCGTCGCAAAATTTTGCGACGCCGTATTAGCGACGGAATTTTTTCCATCGCTAATTTCGTCGCAAATTCGATTAGCGACGGATTTTGCCAAATTTTTCGTCGCAAAATTCATCGCTAATCCCTTGTTTTTTTGTAGTGACCCCTCTCACGTGCAATAAGTATTGGTACTTTCAAAAAAATGCCAGTAACTTAATAATATGTTACTGGGTAAATACGTATACATATGAACGATTTGTGAAAAGAAGAATAATGTCTCTCTTTGTCATCTAAAAGTCGAAATTTTGATAACTACTTGGAAGACCAAAAAGCAAAGTGCTGGTAGTCGATGAAAAAAAGTAAAGTCGAAATTCTGATGACTACTCTAAGGATTAAAATTATCTGAACCTTGTCACTGTTGAGTGGTTCAAAATAAGGATTAAAATTACCCTTGAGACATGTGTTACCCATGTTTGAACGTATCACCCTTACCCTTAAAAATGTTTTTGATCATTGGCGCTAGAGAGTTTGCAATTTTCTGACACGAATTAACACGTCTATGCCCAATTATATGGCTAACATGAGAGCGAGACAAATTCACGCAAATTTAATATATGCGAGTTTTATAGTGTAGTTAATAAAAGTATAGTGTTTTCTAATTACACGACTTGACACGATTATGAAATCCGATCAAAACACATGAATTTCAGTTCCCAATCCTTGTGACAACATATTATAAGCATTTATAGCAAATAAAAAGTAGTTTATGTGATGATCTTTTTACATACATATCTTTCTATGTACTATATATGGAGTACATATACTTACAAATGGAAAGGCTCTATGTCATTTGCACGACAGCCTCTTCCTTTTTCTTTTTCATTTTTGGTGTTTGTCTTGATATATGTCAGCTCCTTTTTGTTGTTTCACTTTGCTATCACATGTAAAACGTTTGTACTATCATGTCTTTATTCCGTTCTTTGTCGGAAAAAAAGGAGAAAAAGAAGAATTCTTGGAGACGACATGAAGGCTTCATTGCCGATAGCTAACAAAAGACAACGTAAAGGCCTTAGGCAAAGATATCGTATAATGTAATGCTTGTATGATCACGTCTTTAATGTGCTCGGCTCCGGCCTCATTAAAAGTGTTTCTTTGTTTCTTATGATGACGTTGGCATAGGGCAAGTAATCCAAATCTGCTCAAGTCATGCATGTGTTCAGCAGAGACTAAATTAATCACTAGTTTGACCTTCTTCCATTCATATATTAAAGGTTCAACCTATGGTCTGCCTTACCACACAAAAGAAAAGAAAGAAGACCAATAGTCCACACCCAATTTGGAGAGAGCACATTCTCAAAAGTGGAAGCAATTCTTTTGATATGTTCGAAAAACGTTTATGAATTGTTATTTAATCAATCAATCCTTCAAAATTATGATATAAATTCAGAAGCTATATTTATCTTCTAAAGAGGTTAATACTTTACTACATTGGCTATTGGCTGTTCAAATTTGTTGTCCCTTTTCTATTTTTTCCTTTTGATCCGTTCCTTCCATTTTTTTATTTTCCTTTTTCCCTTCTCGTAATCCCCCCTCCCCCTCTCTATTTCCCATGAAACAATCACCTAGCGGGACCTTTCCAAAAGTGAACCACCAAAGAAAAGCTAATGAATTGCTAAACAAAGACTTAGCGCAAAAATTAAACATTCAAATCGATTCATTTTGGAGTCACCACTAATCTATTATTGGTCGATTAGAAATCTAAGTAAAATGCGGAAGAATGTCTTGCTTTGAGAAGTGGAGATTTCATGAATATGGGGACTTAATTACGCTAGATAGATCTAACACCATTTGAGTACTTTTTTTCTTTATTTAAAAATATTTTGCAAGAATGCTTGTTTAATTTTAATTCTAAACCACTGTTATGTGATAGGTGATCATGCGGGTATGCAAACAAAAATTCAACACTCAATAATCAAAGAGATAAATAAATTACTTAAGGAAACAGGAAAACCTTGATGCGCTAAGCAATAGTAAAGCTCCATTATATCCAACACATCAAGCGTTTTGCAAAATGTTAACTCAAGACCAAACGATGTATGTATGGTCTAAACATGATTTCTAAATGCAATATCAATTGATTCTTTTTGGTTTTTCTTTTTATGATATGCATTATGAATAATGCATGGAATGCCATTACTAATTAACCCTATCTACACAATTTGATTATTGAAACATTGACATTAAGGCATGTGACTCTCAAGTTAAGTCTTATAATTATATTCCTTTAATAATGATTAACATTATAAAACCTCGTTTGAACTTCAAGGAAGATCACTTTCTTTAGTTACCCTCTAATCACTTCTACTTTCTTTACATCCAATTATTTTTTTCATCCAGACATGATAGTTGGAAAATGCCAAAAATGATTTTATACCTTTTTTTGTACTTTGCATCAGCAATTACTAAAACTCACGCTTCGCATTTGAGGACTTTATCCCAATGGAGAAAAAAAGATCAAAATAGCTTTTCTAAAAGAGTAGAAAAATTTAAAAAGAATGAGATCGTTTTCCCCATCGCCCACCAACCCAAGCTCTAAATGTGGTAGTGGCTTTTGTGGGAAAATACGATAATTGGTAAACTGTTGTGTCTAATAACAAAAATTGGGATGCAAAGCTGGACTCCTGTATTTTTTTTTTCAAGTAAAATCCAAACGCCGCCTCTTCTTCATTTTCCGTTTTCATTTTTCTTTGACATTTTGTAGTTCCTATAAATAAGAGGATTCACGAGGTGAAGCGACGACACATGGCGGCCGTAGAGTTGGCAAAACAAGTTTGCATCGCAATCTCTCATAGGAAAACTACCGAGATCACCGATTTTATCCAAGAGAATAATCTATTGGATGAAGCTATGGTCAGGGGAATCAGTGAAATTGTGAAGCTATGTATTCAGTTTTTCCCGGAGCTTATTTGGATTAAGCCTTATGGTGTGAGGTTGACGGCACGTGCTGTGAAGTGTCGCCAAGAAAGGACTCTCAGGCTCTTTTTGAAGGTAAGCTCAACTAATCAATTGTCGTTAGTTCCCGGGCCTACAGAGGAAGAATCAAGCGAAATGATGAGCAGAGTAGCAGAGTACGCAGCAACAGAGTACTACCCTAATTTCGATGCGATAACTAACGTGGCGGGAGCAGCTTTTCAAATGCAAAGAGAACTCCAATGGTATAAGGTAAAGTATATTTCTTTTCATATATTTAACAACCACGCTTAATGATAATTATCATAGGACCACACTATTTCCACTCTCATTTTGGTAAATTACTCCTATTTTAGTTAACTTACCAAAATATCCCTCTCTTTAATGTAATGTTTCTCTCTCTTCAATCTAGTTACACCTTCTTTACTTTCGGACTCACATTACAATATTTCAAAGGAAAGTTTTAAGTGCATTTTAAAATTTTGATCCCCTTGCTATGAGATTGAATCTATTAACAATATTAATTACTTTCTTCGTGTTAGAAGTAGTACCATAAGAAGTTCCTTTTTTTTTCCTTTTTGTGCTCATCTTTTGTTTCAACATGATCTAAATGTAAACATGTTTTGATCATGCTTTCAAAAAATTAACCTTTTCCATATGTTGATCAATTTGTTTCCATTTTTTTATCAAGATCGACTAAATAATTAGATTGAAATAATTTTCAACTTTGAAATAAAGTTTTGCTCAAACTATTTGATAAAAAATAGACAATTAATTGTGTATACATAAGTCATCATAAATAGAAATTTCTAATCTTTTATATAGCTTTCATGGTTAAAAATATGAGACCGCGAATCAACATTAACAACTTATCTAGGCAAAGTGATAACAGGATGCATAATAAGATAATATCTTGTTTGGTGTAATAGGTCATTTATATTGTGAAACCGATGAGAGAGATGATAAAAATATAGTCAGTTTTGTTGGTTAGATTGATAAAGAAAGAAACAATAAATTGAAGAAAGAGAGAAGCATATTTCGACTGGTTAACTAATAAAAAGGAGTGTCTTAGCCAAAATGTGGATGGAAATAGTGCTACCCTTATCATATCTTCTTGACAAGTTCCTTAAAATATGATGGCTAGAACTTTATTTGGAGATTGAGAATATACATAGAATATTTTTTTGTAGCAGACAGAAATATCCGGCCCAACTTTTGTGCACCAAATAATCTAATCCAAGTGACTCTTTCTTAAAGTCGACCGACTCTTTGTATAGGTGTCTGCCACCATACAATTAAGGGATTATAATGCAAATCATTTCATGTATAACTCATGTATATTAATTTGGAGCCCAAAAAAACATTTAGATCGTATATTTGCATGATAGCTTTGCTAGTTCCATATTGTATCATATTTTGCATTTAAGATTATAGTGTAGTTCCAATATAATTGAATGTATGTAGATGGATAATGATTTTAAAGCAGTATGACATGAATCGTCTCTTTTTCAATCAAAAGATTAGCTAAGTTCATTTATGGCCACTATTTTCGTTTGATTAGCTATTAATTCACTAACACTTCTCATTAGTTAATTGAGCTATTAACTAAAGTTCTACTCATGCAAACCATTGTCTAAAAAAAAATGACATCAAGAAGCTTTTACGATATATTTACCTTTATTTCATTTCAACTCTCTGTTCTCTGTCATGAAAAAAAAAACTTGGGACAATTACATACAACAAGAGTCCTAAAATTTATGTCAATCCTGCACTCGAGTCCTGAAACTTTGAATTTCATGCTTAATAAGTCCTAAAGCTTGTCTTTCTCCTTCACGTTAGTTTTTTCGTTAGCTTCATCAATTTTTTATAGACATTTATTGGCATTTTTTTATTAATTTCTTTTATTTTTTGCAAAAGTGGCCTTGATATGGTGCAAATCGGCGCCACATCACAAAAACTAAAAATAAAAAGGACAAAAATAGGGAGTAAGTGATCATCGAAGAGGAACAAGAAGGGGTCACCCCCTTTGTCACTAAGGTTTGGGGAACCCTGCGGGTTGCTTCATGTGCTCGACACTTGTCCGTGGTTCGAAGAGGTTTGGTTGCTTCATGGGGGCAACAGCATAGCTCGCCACCCCTCGAGGAGGCTCGACTGGCCGTTGCATGGGCATCGTTGCACAGCTGACCCATGGAACACCCTTATAACTAGGGGTGTGCAAAGGGAACCGCCCGAACCGGTCGGTTTTGGGCGGTTTTAAGGGGCGGCGGTCGGGTTCCCGATTCCCAATTTTGGAACCGGTAAATTTTCGGTCCAATTCCCGTTTCCAAAGGGAGCCGAACCGGACCGACACTATTTAAAATTTTAATTTTAACTCTTTATAATTTGAACTCTAATTGTCACGCATTGAACTCTAATTACAATGCTTGACTGGGGTACAATGAACTCAAATTACAAGACTTGGCTTGGATTTGATGCACAATGCTTCTAATGCCTCTTCGTTCCCATTCGATGTGGGACTCTCGATTTGCCTTGAACGCCTTCAATGTGAGCCTCTTGGCTTGTCTTCATGCAAATGCCAAGAGTCCCACATCGAATGGGAATGAATAGACCATCAAATGGGTTATGGATAAAACCCATGCCAAGCCATGAGCATGGCTAGTTGTATGCCTTTCGTGGCTACTTGGCTATGATAAAGGGATGTCAAGTGAAATTTTTTGATCTTTTGCTAGTGAAGAGCAAACGGTTCCATTGGACTGCCCGAAACCGGACTAATGGTCCGGTCCGATTCCCGGTTCCCTGATTTACCGGTCCGATTCCCGGTTCTAAAAATAAGAACCGGTCTTACCGGTCCGATTCTCGGTTCCAAGCGGAACCGGACCGAATCGGATACCAATCACCCCTACTTATAACCCCACAAACTGAGTAAATCCAAACCTTTGGCATGTGTAGCTGACTCTAATTTAGAACAATTTGTATGCAATTGATAAGATTTGAAATGCTAAATTTCAATTTCTAAGTTGAAAATCCTTTGTTTCCTAACTAACTGCATCAACCTTGGAAGGCTGAGTTGCGTCTTTTCCTATTACGTAACTATCCATTTATAGAGCATGTTATTTGATTTACTTTTGAACAATCAATTATGTAATATGAAGACATAACTCCCACTTTGCAATGCACTTGATTACCTTCCGTTGGACGCTTGAAAATGAATTTTCTTCATGAAGTTTTTCTAGAAAAGACAAATCAACTTGGATATTATTTTCTTTATAGAAACAAGGGAAAAAACCACCAAAAACCCCAAACTTTTCCATTTGTGACACATTTACCCCGAACTTTTTTTTGTGACACCAAATACCCCAAACTTTGTTATTTGTGACACATTTACCCCAATATACATTGTTCATGGGCATTTTCGTCTTTTTAGCTTTTTCTTTTACTTTTTACTTTTTTTTTCTTTCCGGCGAGGGCCCCTCGCCGGATCCGGCGAGGGCCGCCCTCGCCGGCGTCGGGCGAGGCTCGCCCTCGCTCGGGCGAGGCTCGCCCGACGCCGGCGAGGCTCGTCCTCGCCCGGGCGAGCGAGGCGAGGCTCGCCAAGACGGGGCGAGCCTCGCCCTCGCCCGGGCGAGGGAGGGCCGGGCGAGGGCGAGGCTCGCCGGCGTCGGGTGAGGCTCGCCCTCGCTCACCCAGCGAGGGCGAGCCTCGCCGCATCGGCGAGGCTCGCCCTCCTCGCCCAGCGAGGGCGAGCCTCGCCCGACGCCGGCGAGCCTCGCCCAGGCGAGGGCGAGCCTCGCCCGACGCCGGCGAGGGCGGCCCTCGCCGGAAAGAAAAAAAAAGTAAAAAGGAAAAGAAAAGGCTAAAAAGACGAAAATGCCCATGGACAATGTATATTGGGGTAAATGTGTCACAAATAACAAAGTTTGGGGTTTTTGGTGTCACAAAAAAAAGTTCGGGGTAAATGTGTCACAAGTGAAAAAGTTTGGGGTTTTTGATGATTTTTTCCCTAGAAACAAAACAAGTTTGGGTTCTGAAAATTAATGAGAAAATGATAAGGGATGAATAAAAAGATTGATAGGGTTGGTTCTGGCGCATGAATCAAGATGACAATGACCATCACAACTCCCAAGTCAATCACATCAATCAATCAAAGAAATAAGAAGAAAGAACAAATTTGCAGAATTTAGAATAATGCAAAATCCATATGATCCTACCAAAGAAATGATACAGGAGAAATATGATTATCCAATCATTTTTAAATCTAACCTACGGATATAAATTTAAAATTTTTAATTTTGTTAATTTAGTCATAAATTTTTACGAGAAATTTCAATAAAGTTTTTACAGGCAATTTTCGTTTGAAATCGCTGATGTTTTTTCATGTAGAACGTTGGTGACGACTGAACCACCACGTCAGAGATTTTCATGAAACTTGAATCGTTAGAAAGTAGAAACATATTGCTTATCATGTATATATTTTATGACTAAAAATGAAGCACAAAATTATCATCGAAGCTCAGAAGAAAGTGATCCTTAAAATTCTGCCAGAAATGATGGACTTAACCTCTAAGCAATTTCGCATCAAGTGTTGGATACTTCATAATCTCCTTGAGATGTTCCCTCATCAATTTTCTGAAATTTTTCAATACTTAGTTTACTTATCGAGACTCCTATTTGTGAGTTTTATGCATAGGCTGTGGAAAGATGGATTGTCCCTAATGTGAGAACTCGCTACTACGAGCATAAGACATATTGGAATAGATTCGTGGAGAATCACACAGAGTTGCTTAAGAATGGAGAGAAATGGGCGAAGGTCATAGCAAATTCATGTATGCTCGTCTCAACTCTAATTGCCACAGTATTGTTCGCTGCTACTTTCACTATGCCTGGAGGCAATGACGACAAAATTGGAGTCCCATTGTTGTTAGGAAAGGACTCTCTCCTAATTTTCACAATTTCGGATGCGTTAGGTTTGTTCTCCTCTGTGACGGCCATCTTGCTATTCCTAGCCATCTTAACTTCGCGGTACGAGGCGCAAGATTTTCTTGAGGCGTTGCCTAAGAAGATCATAATGGGCCTTTGTTTTCTCTTCCTCTCCTTGGCTTTCATGCTGGTGGCCTTCTCTGCAACTCTCACAATTGTGCTGGATAAGAGACTGGACTGGGTTCTTATCCCCATTACTTTGCTGGCCTCTCTTCCGGTCGCTTTATTCGTAGTACTACAGATTCCCCTGCTATACCAAATGGTTAAATCCACTTATGGACCCAGCATCTTTCGTGCCGAGAGCAATTGGTGAAATCCACTTATAGTTGGCTGTTTGTAGCAGGGCCGATGCAATACTGAATGTATTTCCTCAAAGAATTTGAATAATTACTTTGCATTATATTGCCCTACCTTGTTACCAAAGATCTATTTATAGAATGATTTGATCAATTTAAAATTTCAGCCTATAGATACTTCAAAATTGAATGTACACATACATAAACAATTTTTTTTAACATTCAGTACCAAAATTAGATGCAGAATTTTTAGCTTTTTCTTTTACAAATTAGATGCAGAATTTTTTTTCCATCAGCTTAAACATTCAGCCTCCAGGTACGTCAAAATAGAATCTAACTGTTATATAACAATTATCTTAAACAGCTATTACCAAAATGTGGGCAATAATGGAATATAACTTTTTAAACATTGAATTTTTCTTTTAATAGCTTAGATGCACGAATATTTTCCGTCAACTTAATAGTGTAACCTGAAAATCAGTCTTATTTTTTTTTATAGATACTTCAAAATAAAGCCTTCATGCATAAATAATTATCTTAAACGATTTATCATCCAAATACGTGCAATCGTGGAATTTTAAACATTTAATTTTTTCTATATAGGTGCTCTCGTGATGAACAATTTGATAATAGAAAAAAAGAAAAAAGAGTCACAAAAAATTGAAACTGTGCCCAATATGACACGTTTATCCCAAATTTTTGTTTACATCAAAAGCCCCAATCATTTATAGGTGCTCTCGAGATGAACAATGAGCACTGTTAACAAATCATACGTGGCTAATTACGTGGATAACGGAAGGCAAACTGTGATGATGTGCGCCTATGTGGCTTAAGTGAAGGTAAAACGCTGTTTTGATCGTGAAATCATCTGCCTTGGCTGAAGTTACAAGAACAATGCCGTTAGCCTGTGTCTCTCTCCGTTGCTGAATAGATTTGGGGCTGTTAGGGTTTATGCTGCTCGATTCTCTCTCTCAAGGAAGCTCGATTTGTTCAAGCTCGTTTATGGGATGAAGGCGATTTGGATTTGCAAGATTTGCAACAACAAATTCAAATAATTCATTGATATAATGAATGTGCATGACCAATAATCATGGTCACAATTGAATAATAATTCATCATCGAATCAAAAGGCATCTCGATTGCCAGAAGGGTTGAACCTGTGCACCAAGTAGAAACACTCTTTTTTGGATTACAACCAAACAGAAGAGCAGCCGAGATTCTTCCACTTTGGACGCAAAAGATATGGCGACTGAGAATCCTATTCCCGAAAAATGAAGGAATTCTGCAACCACGGAGAGTTCATATTATTCTTGTCAAATCATTCTAGATCACGATACGCATCCGCCTCTTTGCTCTCAGTCTAAAATAGCCTCAGGGACGCCCTGGTAATATCTGCAAGTAATTTTGAAAGATCACTACAAAGTAAAAGAGATTTTATAATACAATGTTATCGTCAAGAGCAACTACGGCGTGCATAAACACCCAGAGACCAGAAGATGAAGAAAGATTGGGTTTGGGATAAAGCGAGACATAATCAAAGAAAGAATCGAGCTGGACAACGTCAGATTCAAATAAGTGAGTCCCTCATCGTTACAACTCGTAATCAGATGTTGTCTTTTTTATTTTATTTTTTTCCAATATGTAGGATTTTATTCAGTGAAAAACACATAAGCAGGGGAGCAATCCTGTTACAAGATAAAACACACAAGCTCAGGCACTAGGAAGCACAAGGAACTCTATCAATAAGATGAAGTTGAAGAGCAGAGTGTGAGTATCTTGCTTTCTAGAACAACTGAACTTGATACTTTGTACAAATTGTTCAAGTTCTGAGCACAACTTAGGCTATTATAAATGTTTGGGAAGAGAGAATGAGTAGCATTTTACGATCATAACATAGGTAGCTGACAGGAATTGATCTACTTCCTAGTTGACCATTGATGAAAACATGCAGAGCATAGCTTATCCTGCTGATCATAATAACATAGGTAGCTTACAGGAATTGATCTACTTCAACTAACGAAGGCTCCTGATCAAAGGTAAGCGAAAAACATGCGCATGTTAGTGGACATGAAAATGGTAGTTGATTCATCGAGAAGCCTGCCAGTGGAAATGCGATACCTCCAAGACAAAACTGTAATGGGATGACTTTGAATAAATCGAGCTTCAGCAACCGATTTACCTCTTATCTCTGATTCTTCAACAATTGTAAATTGTCTTGAAGAAATGGCACTCATGCCTTTTGTCCTGCTACATCTTTGCATCAACCAAATCCTTGCTCATTCGCTATTCCTAGCCATCTTAACTTTGCGGTTTGAGCTGCTGGATTTTCTTAAATCGTTGCCTAAGAAGATCATAAAGGGCCTTTATTTTCTCTCTGTCATTGGCTTTCATGCTGTTGCCTTCACTGCAACTCTCACAATTGTGCTGGATAAGAGGCTTGAGTGAGTTCTCATGCCCATTACTTTGCTGGCCTATCTCCCGTGGCTTTATTCGTAGTACTGCGGCTTCCGTTGCTGTACCAAATGGTTAAATCCACTCATGGACCTAGTATCGTTTGTCCCAAGAGCATTTGGGAGTGAGGCATAATTATTGGGCGAGATCATGTGATTGACGAATTTGATTTGAGGGTATAAGTCTTCGTCATAGTTGGGTGTAGCCGGTCTAATGCGATACTTAATGTATTTCCTCAAAGCATATGAACAATAACTATGCAAATTTATAATTTCATGCCTTGTTACGGGAGATCCTATTATAGAATAATTTGATCAGTTTAAAGTGTCATCCTATAGATATATCAAAGTAAAATCTATGGATACATTAAAAATTATTTTAAAGTATGCTTAATCATGGAATATAACTTTTTAAAACATTATTTTTTTTCTATTTTTTCTTTTTGTAATTTAGATGCAGCAATCTTTTTCCATCAACTTAAATATTGACCCTCCAGGGATTTCTAAATAGAATCTCTATGGCACAGAAACAATTATATTCAACATTATTAACAAAATATGCACAATCAGGGAATATAACTTTTTAAACATTTAATTTTTCCTTTTATAGCTTAAAGGCATGAATTTGTTCCATCAACTTAACAGTTCAACCTTCAAAAAAAAATCACCCTTATATATTATAGATATTTCCCAAACATATGTAAAAACAATTCACTACCGTAGTACGTGCAATCATGGATTACAACTTTCCTCATGTAATAATTTTTTTAAAGTTTAATTTTTCTAATAGATGCTCTCGAGATGAACAATTTGATATACGAAACGATTTACATACAAATAATACCGGTGATAGGCCTTTATTCTTATGAGCTATAAAGCAATTGGAATTATACCAGATATAAGACTTTGTTCCCATTAACAGTGACGTAGATGGAATTCTACCTGCTATAAATCTTTGATCGTTAGTCCTACATATAATTTTTCTTTTTATAACCTAGATGTAGGAATTTGTCCACCAGCTTAAAAATACAACTTTATTATAATATAGATAAGTCAAAATTGAATCTATGTATACATAAACAATTATTTTAAAATATTAATTACCAAAATATGGGCAATCATTAAAATGACTTTTTAAACATTTAATTTTCTTCATAGGTGCTCTCGAAATGAATGGTTTGATAATTGAAATAATTTCTATGTAAAGATTATCAATGATAGACATGATGCCAGATGTATGACATTATTCTTAAGAACTATAAAATTGGAATTACATCAGATATAAGATTCTGTCCACATAAATTTTGAAGCACATAGAATTATACCTGTCATAGATCTTTAATCATCCATCTAGTAAATTATATAGATATATCAAAATAAAATCCAAATATACATGAACAACTATATAGAATTTATATATACATAAATAATTTGGGAAGATTACCCTATCAGTCTTAAATCTATTGTACGGATGTCAATTTAGCCCTAAACTTTTCAATTTTAACAGTTAAGTCCTTAACCTTTGCACGATATTTTAATATAGTCCTTCCGATCAATTTTCGTCATAAATAGCTGGCATGGCTATCCAATCATCGTCGGTCGTCCTACGTGATACACTACCACGTCAACGACTTCTGGTGAAAATTGGCCTAAAGGACGACATGAAAATTTCACGTAAAGGTTTATAACTCAATTGGTAAAATTAGAAAGTTTAGGACTAAATTGGTCTCCTCACGATTAGTTTAGGGATGACTTGATAATTACCCCTAAATAATTTATTTAAACATTTATTTCTCATAAATCGATAGTAATTTATTATCAAAATTCTCATAAGAATTAGATGTGCAAAATTTAGATATTTGCTAAGATTAGACATCTGCTAGCATTACAAGTAGTCATGGCCACGGGCCGATTTCGGCCCGGTCAAACCCGGGCCCGGCCCGTTGACCGGGCCTACGGTTCGGAACTGGAACCGGCCCGTGGCCTACGGGCCCGATTTCGGTTCCAGCAATTTTGGAACCGGCGGTTCCAAGCCCGGTTCCAAAAAAAAATTTAAAAAAAAAAAAACCTGCAGCAGCGCCTGCACGTCTGCAGGCCCTACTGCGGCCTGTTGCCAAGGCAGCCTTTGCAGGCTACCTTGGAAATGAGCAAAAATAAAATAAAAAATAAAAAGATAACCGGAAGTCCCTCCCTCCCACCCTCTCTCTCTCTCCAAACCACAACGAAGCATCGAAACTCAGGAGCGCGCGAGCGCGAGAGAATCGAAATCGGGCCATCATCGAAGAATCCACGGCAGCTCCACCAGCGATGTGACGATCCGGCGAGCGGGAAAGAGAGCGCGCGAGGGAGGAGCAGCAGAAGAAGAAGAAGAAGATCCGACGCGCCGTCCCGCCGCCGGATTCGATGCACCCGTACAATCGGCTCCCGAGCAGCGGACACTCCAGGTCCGGAACCGGCCGGAACCGGAAGAAACTGGAACCGGAACCGGCCCGGAACTAGCCGGTTCCGATTCATACATGGCCACGAACCGGAACCGGCCCGGAACTAGCCGGTTCCGATTCATACATGGCCACGAACCGAAACCGGCCGGTTCCGAACCGTGGCCATGACTAATTACAAGTTTGCCAAACTGACATCAAAGCAAATCGGTGCATGAAGCTTGCACAAGAGTGTGCCGCATGAGTCAACATCATGCGAGTTTTACCCACTTTTATATTTATTGAGTTTTACCCACTTTTAGATTTATTGACAGATTGATATTGAACTCACGTTAGTATCATTTCTTTGAATTACCTCATATCACCCCGAAACTTCGTGAGCACCTAAGTTTATTGTAAGCTTTCCAATGAGACATCATTCGCCCAACACCCATGTTCGTCTCAAACGAAATAGCCACCTTTTCGGGGAAAACACATGGTGAAATCAAAACCCAAGGATCTAAACTAAACAATACTTATACCTAACAACGAGTTGAGCTTTCCGGTGACATGGGAGTTGCAAGTATCCAAAAATGGATTTAACAGGAATTTTAATTCGAAATTTATATGAACTTCTGGTCAAACAGCTATTCAAACGCAACACCTCAACACTTTTAAGGCACATCAAGTTTTGTAGAAAAATCTTATCATGCACTTGGTGCGTGTGAGCCCATCTCACATATACTTTTGGATAACGTGGGCCCCATGTGGGACTCACATGATCTAATGGTGAATGTGCGCTAGGCTCACACGATTTGGGCTCATCCAATTCCTGCTCATTGTTGAAGCAATCACTGACAAGATTCTAGTGTGTTTAGGGAAAGGAAACAAGTCCAAAGCCAAGCTCTAACGGAGAATTTGCGCATGACACCCATCAGGACAATCCTCCGTAATAAAGTCATGCATAGAAAAGTTCGCGTCAGTGAATTGGTCCACTTGGCCTCTTACAATGCCCAACATACGTATTGAACGTGTTGGCATGACGTGCGAAGACTTAGTTAATGCTTTGGTTGGGTCAAACACACGACAAGACATGAGCCATCGTGATCTGGAAGCTGCAGCGAATGTTAGTTTATCCCCATGTAGATAGGATCTCGATTCTAAAGTAATCACATCTATAATGGGTGGATGACGTTACTACATCACTTGACTTATCGAGTACATTTATTCCCAGACAAGCATTATAGATCTCAAGGAAACGACGAAGCAACATGCTTTTATTCATCTAGTCAAAATTCGGCGAAGAGAGGGACGCATTTTGCTCCAAAGTCCAAACAGAATAACAAGTTAGAAAGCAAAGGCACGAATGATCAATATCCACTCGAGCGACTCACTGCAACACACAAACAAACCGAAGTACAACCTTACAAGAAAAATCCAGAGAAAGCCATTAACGGCGAGCATATAAGCCGAATTATTATTTTCCTTCTTTTTTGAAGAGGCTTGAAAAGGTGGTGTTTGTTGATGGGTCGGTTCTCTACTAAAATGAAATTAAGCCACTTAGCCAGTGCCACCGAGAACACCCTTAAGCTTCTTAAACTGAGCATCATCAAGGAAAGTCGTGGCTTCTACCAACTCAGAAGGGAAATTATTAGCGAACAGAGCAAAGTCCAAGATTTGAAGCCCAGGGCTCGGACTGCTGAAGCTTGTTCGGAATGAGCGCAAGATCACAAAGAGATAGAGAGTAACAAACGAGAAGAAGAAATTGAGACACAATATTTTTATCCTGATTCACCCTTAAACTAGGGCTACGTATAGCAGATGATTCCACTATAATTAGCACATTGCACCTCTCTATTACATCTCTCAATTACAAAAGAAAGATGATATATAAAGACAATAATTTGATTCAAAGTAGGAAACCTCTATCTAGGAAACATATTCCAATTAAGAAACCCTTCCTTTTTCGGGCTCAAACTATAAAAGCCCTCTAGCGGCTCGGCGACCCCCGTGATGTCCTATCGCTAGGGAGTATGAACCATGTCCCAACAAAGCTGACTATGGCAAGTGCTGGACCTTTACCAGCATTCAATTGGAAGTGCAATAGCCCCTGAGGGAAAATCATGCTATCCCCTTTTTTGAGGTTCTTCAAGTAGACGGTGTTCGCCGACGACGAGATGAACCTATCACAAATCGGCCCTTGGAGGACGATGAGGACCTCTGAGGTGCCTGGGTGCGTGTGCATCAGGATGTCCCCGCCAGGGGCCATATTGAAATTAATGGTTGCAACCAATATGTATAAGATACGGACTATATAGTTGCTGAGCATATTCACAACTTATCTTAAAAGTGGTAAAGAATGTTCAATCTAAACTAGAATGTTTATTTGCCTAAAAAAAAAAACTAGAATGTTTATAAGTTCTACTTTAGAAGTTTACTTAACTACAATTGAGCACCGCATCACTAATAAGTACATAGGATTCGTTACTTGTCACTCACGATGCTTCTCTAGCCCTAATTGAAGGAATGCCTCCTCCTGCCAATATGTAAATAGTGGGTTTTTTCACAAATTTTATACAATTTTTTGCTGGAGATACTGTTCGGCAAGTCACATAACCCCGAAGACCCTAAACTCATCTGGTACACACTACTTTATCTCTTTTTGTGTTAGCTTTGCTCGTCTGTCACCATAGCATATGTGTTGCGTTAGTAAAATATCTGAAGAGTATGAGCCATTCTCATACAATGATGCCGTCAAGGATCCCCAATGGAAACAAGCTATGGCAGATGAATTACAAGCACTAGTGGAGAATAAAACCTGGGATCTTGTCCCTCTGCCGCCGCACCGATGGCCCATTATGTGCAAGAGGGTATATAAAATCAAATATAAGGCAGACGATTCCATTAAGTGATACAAGGCAAGACTCGTATTCAAGGGTTTCACATAGTGGGAAGGTTTTGATTATCAAGAAACTTTTTCTCCAGTAGCAAAAGAAGTTACTGTTCGTTCTTTTCTTTTTGTTACTTCTATCTGTGATTGGCATTTGAATCATATGGATGTTCACAATGCATTTCTCCATGAAGATTTAGAGGAAAAATTTATATGGATCTTCCACCGGGATTATGCAGCCAGGGGAAGGATCGAGTATGTCATCTATGCAAATCCCCATATTGACTTAAATAGGTTTTCCATTAATGGTATGCTAAATTTACCACTGCACTCACAGTGGTAGAATTCAAGCAGTCAAGACACGACTATGCTCTATTCACATGGAATCGAGGTACATCATCCATTTGTTTACCGATATATTTTAATGATATACTTATCATGGGGAATGATGAACCTACCATCACGGAGTTCAAGAAATATTTGCACTCCACTTTTCACATTAAAGATTTGAGACCCCCAAATATTTTCTTGGGATAGAAATTGCACGATCAGATAAAAGAATTTGTCTCAGTCAACACAAATTTGTCCTACAAATCATATCGGAGGCATGACTATCAGGTTCCAAACCAACAATCATTCCAATTGAGCAGAATGCCAAGTTGATGACATCTGAATATGACAAAGGACTATCACCATAGAATGAGGATCCTTTACTCAAGGACCCCTACGTATATCAGAGACTTGTTGGGAAATTTATCTATCTCACCATGACTAGACTTGACATATGCTATGCGATACAAATTCTCAGTCAATTCATGCATGGCCTAAAACATTCTCACATGAATGCAGGGTTGAAGGTAGTAAAGTACCTAAAAGGATATCTGGATTGGGAATACTACTATCTCGAGATAATAACATGGAAATGATGGCATATTGTGACACAGATTATGCCATTTGCCCTATGAGTAGAAAATCTATTATAGGATTTTGTGTCAAGTTGGGAAACTCACCGCTCTCATGGAAAATGAAGAAACACTATATTGTTTCATTATCATCCACTGAAGCAGAATATCGAGCAATGGCGAAAACCAGCGGTGAAATTGTTTGGATAAGAGGATTGCTTCAAGATCTCGACATATGGATAAAAGAACCAACGACTCTGTTTTATGACAACGATACTGCGCTTAAGCTCTCAATAAATCGAGTTTTTCATGAAAGAGCAAAGCATATAGAAGTCAATTGTCATTTCTTCAGAGACAAAATCCAGGATGGAGTAATTAAGACAAAGGGAATAAGGACAACAGAGCAACCTGCAGGCATCTTCACCAAACCCTTGTGTTAGAAGCAACATGCATATCTACTAAGCAAGCTAGTCGTCCTTGATGTGTATAAACCGCTATCTTGAGGGGGAGTATTGGATATACTGTTGCTCCTAATTGATTTGACAAGATATCTTGGCACATGATTGATTCGTGATTCCCTTGATTGATATTGTATATTAGGGAATCATCTTTTTCTTTTTTCTTTTTCTGTATGCTCTATGTACTATAAATAAGCTTGTACGCATACATTTTATGACATGAGAAAGTAATACATTTCTCTACACTAATCCTCCTCCATCTAGCTTTATGTCAAACCATATTGTGACATTTTTCATCCATTTGATTAAAACACAAATAAAACTTATCTCTCTCTTATTGACACCAAAATTTTTTAACAATGCATTTTTGTAAAAATAAAAAAATATATGAAAATAATAACAAACAAATAACAAATAAAAAATACTTAATAAAATTTTGGCCCATCTCACTACAGGGTCGCGTCCATGTATACATATATTTTAACAAATACGCATTCGGCAGGGTAGAATACAGTAGAGAGAGAACACACACACACACGGAGCTCAGGAAATTGTCTCTCACGCCATCCATTTCCAGGAGCTTCTAGGTCGTGATTCCCTCTTCATACTCGGCCACCTCCAATCCACCAGTAACCGCCGCTCGTCTTCGATCGCCAACCACCATAGACTCTTCGCATTTGAACCTCAGAAAATAGAGCAGAGAGTATAGGGAAGGAATTCTCACGTTTAGTTGTGATTCTCTCTCGATTTCCTCTATGAATCCTTACCTCTCTCCCTGTCACCAATTTGCCATCGTAGGCTACTTCCCCAACACCACTAGCTTCGCAGCCACAGGAAGAAGTGCTCTGTTTGCCCCCATTTTCCGGCCAACGTCATTGAAGTGTTGGATTCTCCTTCTCCCTCCTTTAGCCAGTTCCAAATTTCAAATACAATAACTCCTGAAACTTCACTCCTCTGATTTGATTACCAATTGCGGTCAGCTATTACTCTTTGTCTAGGTAAATCTGCATACTCTGTTTCTGCTGAAGGTAGGGATCGAGTGCTCGATTTCGCCAACGTGAAATCTGGTCGCGTTCGAGACTTTGTTATAATTCTGGATACGATATCTCTCTTATTATCGCATCTAGATCATTTGGCCGAAATGTCTACCACATGTTTGATAAAATTCCTAAACTAGATCAGTGTGTGTTTCGATTCAGATTCAGACTAAGAGCTTCCCTTTTCTTAGTCGATATATTATTTTCGTCATATAGACTTTACTTGTGTTTCGTTTCCTTTCATTTCAGAATTTAGTAGCTATTCGTTTTAGAATTTGTTCTTGTAATTCTCGAATTAGATGCATAGCCAGTGTGTACGCAAGATGAATCTGATACCAAGTATTCCGGAACTTGACCAAGGGCCTCTTGAACGAAAATGAATTTGATCCGGGCACATATACTTCTTGTGCTTCTCTATATGTCGATCTATTTTGTCGTGCCGAATTGCAAACTTATTATGAGAATGGTGTAAGTTTTTCTGAAGTGAGCTACATTAATTGAAATTGTAATTTACTGTTTTACGGGATTGGTCCAATAAAGTAAGATATAAAGATTCTTAATTAGTCTAATATGAGACTGGCTAGTATGGGCCAAGTAAGGCCCGGCCCGTAATGAGAGGGTCTGGCTTAAAACTCTATAAATAGTGGTCAAGTCCCTTCTCTAACCCTGACACACAATTATCTCACATAAGGAGCAAACGTTAACTGTGAGAGGCAGTCTCATTGAGCCAGTGATACATAGGGTAATAGAGAAGAAGAACTTGCACTGAGGATCGTCTCTATTCCGCATCATGAACGATGGATTTCAAATTAGGTGCGCAAATTCCTTTTACTTGATTATATGTGTTCTAGATTCTAGCTATGGAGATCTTAGGTATCGTTTTCGCAGCCAACATGTGGCATCAGAGCAACCATAGACTGGATGTAGAACGTACGGATTTGGCTTGTTTTTGTGATTTTTTGTTCATAAAAAAATATTTTTGATCACATAAACTGACTATGCTAGTCGAGACGAGCATTTTGAGTGGTGGCACACCACCAGGGGACGCCATACGCACCCCCACAAGCCACCACACGTCTCCACGCACGGGCGTGGCTAGTGCGTGTGTTGCATGTGTCACGCCCCGACTCGGAATCGTGATCCGCGGGGGTTATCTTTATGACGTCCCATTTGTTTTTATCTTTTGTTACGAGCAAGCGGAAGCGTATACTTGGGACAATCACAATAACATCAAGCAACAACGAGGTTAGGAAACACGCTACAAGCACACTTATATTTACATGATAGAGACTTTCATTACAAGCCCTTGTCTTCGGGCCACTAGCTATTTGTACATCCGTCAAAACACGGTCGGGTTATCCTACTCCGCTACCATGACTTCCACAAAACGATCCCAAAACTAACTTCCCAAAAGCTGGCCTCCTCCCCCTTCTCGTCCATCCCACCTACACACCGTTCGCGGCACCCCCGGGTGCGGGACCATTCACTCCCCCGAATTGCCCATTGAACCCGCAGAGGGGACCGAACAGGCCGCCCTCGGTCCACATATACCAAGCCTCGTACGTGTGAGGAACGGGGTTGTCCAGGCCCTCCTCTACCATGACTTGGGAGATGACCTTGCAATAGGCTCTACCCCCACCCGCATCTGTGACGTCCAGCACGTCCACGACTAGTTCCACCGGGGTACCAAAACAAACAGGTGGTGTCGCCATCCTACAAGTCTGAGGAAAAATCACGGGGAGTGAGTCAAAGACTCAATAAGTAAATCCACTAATATCAAGTTAGGAGGAAGTAATCGTTCGCAAGCATACGCCCAAACCTTTACCAACCTGGGTGTTGATGGCAAATCAATAATAAAGACGTGCCTTACCTTGGCTATGTATTATTCATGGTTCACGCATCAACCAAGAGAACATCAAACATGGTACATAAATGGCACATGCATCGACACATGGTATCTCGATCACACGAGAACAAACACA